ACTAGTTTTTAACCCGTGCATTTGCACGGAAAACAATATAATAGAACAAAAAATAATAAAAATATATAAACAATAGTAAAAATCATAATATAATCATTGGAAAAATGTTTTAAGAAATAATAAATAAATATTGTTAAACAATTTTTTATATACAACGTTTGTGGTTTTTCTATCAACAGAATTTTCATCACTACAAATCATATCTTCAAATTAAGACATATAATGGTTTTAATTGTTTAAATAATTATTGTATTTTGTACTATAGATCATATAGAAAATTTTAAAATAAAAATACTAAAAAAGTACCAGCAAAATATTACAAAATAAATAATTGTATTTGGTTGATAAATAATGATATGTGCCAAATATTTAAGACATTTGAACAAAATGACAATTTTTGGGCCATAAAGAAATATATTGATTGAATGATAAAAAAAAGCCCAAATTAGAAGTCCACTTAATTTTTTAGGGTAGCCAAAATCAAATATAAAACAGGTCAGTGATAACATGACTATAAATAGAGATAAACTCTTTGAGAGTGATGTAAGCCGTTTTTTTGTTTGATGTCGGCGCTTCTCTTGTTATTCACTCTGTCTGAAACCCTAATCCTTAACCCGATATTACGACAAACTCGGCGAGATTCAATACAAAACAACTGTTTTACCGGAGATTTTCTCCCGGTAAAGGCTTAAAAAATTAAAAAAAAAAAAAGAAAAAAAGACATCCGAGAAATGTTGTTTTTGTGACCAACAGTAGTGATCAAAAAATAAAATATCCATCCCGATTTCTTAATCTGTATTGCTTTTTTTAACAGGTCGGTCAAAATTGGGCGATAATATTACAAATCTATGATGAGCTGAAATATTTTTTGTTAAACGTAGTTTTTATTTTTATTATTTTCAATGATCTGTGTCGTTTTCCGAAATTCTTTGTGAATAAGCTTCAAGATATATTATATTTTATACATAATTTGAAATTATTTAGATGTTTTTCAAAATCGTTTTTCGAAGAGAACATGACATTGGTCGAACTTTTTCAAACTTTTATGTATTTTGTTCAGGGTTTGAAAAAATATGTAAGTTTCTAACAGATATGTTCAGTTCTACTAACAAATATATATGTAAGTTTATAACATATCTGTTCATATCTTTTTATAACATACATATGTAACTTTTATGTATTTTGTTCAGATTTTGAAAACTAAATAGTTCAGTTCGTTGTCGTCTTTCTCATCATATCAGTAAGTGAAGCTTTGCTAACATTTTTTCAAAATCGCTTTTCGAAGTTATTCAAAGTCTTTTGCCGAAGTTTTTCAATTTTTTTAGTATTTTGTTCAAAACTTGGAAATATTAGGTAAGTTTATAACAAATCTGTTTAGATATATTTATCGCATATTAGGAATTTCTTGTTTAATGTTTAAAAGAATCCGTAGGAATTTTTATTTTTAAAACTTTTACGCAAAAAAATTGATTTTAATATAAAGGCAGATGTCTTGGTAAAAGTTGAATATGTTGATAATGATAGAGAAATCAAATTATTTTTCTTTCTATATTGTATAGTGTTCAATAATGTTCCACATAATTTGCTGTGTTTTTAATTTTGATTTTTTCATATAGATTTGACTTTTTTTTGTTGATTATTAATTATGGTTGATATTTCTATATTATACAACAATCTGCCATTACATACAATGCCTTGTCAATTCTCATTCTTTGACTTTGCCAATTTCCGTTTAATATGACTTTTCTGTTGCAGAAAGTATGTTTTTAATGCATTAAAATATTGATGTTTTAGATATGTTTTGATGCTATAATCATGCAGAAATTTGTCCCGCCACTTTTTTCTTAAAGAGGAATTGTTTAATGAAAATTAATCATTTTTATATTTATGGCTGAAAATTAAATTACAAAAAAAATAATTTCAGCCATTTGGGGAGCTAAATTTTTAATTTTAATCATGAAAATAATCTTTCTTATCATTTTGTAGTTATATATTTGATTGAGTATGGCTGAAAATTAAATTACAAAAAAAATAATTTCATTTTTTATATTGTAATGTAACATGATATGTATTATAATGTTTGTAATTAATACATTTATTAATATTTCTTATAACTTTAATTGCTTATTCAATCCATAATGAAATAAAAAATAATAATATATAGTTTCTGCACAACAATAATGACTGTCACGTTTATATATATAAATGAGAATAAGAAACATAAATGTGGGATTAACTAAAAGAAACTTTTTTAATTTAGTCATTAACTAATTAAGTTTAACTAAAAGAAACCTTCTTAAATGTGAGATTAATGAGTAATTAATTAAAAAAATGTAACTTCTTTTGGAGGGAAAATGAAATATTTTTATTAAATGTTTTATTAAATGAGGTTAGTTAGCAATTATATATATATAGATGTGTCCGGCAATTTTTAAAACAAAAATGAGTAACACACATTTGGGTTGGTGCAATTTTCCCTCCAAATTAATTAGGCAATTTCCTAGCTTCTAACATAGCTCTGTGTACTTTAATTTGGTAAAAGAGAAACAAACAATATAGATATAGGAAACCATACGTATAGAAACGTATCCAAATCTTGTGAATCTGTGAATTTGTATCGCAGACGATAAGATAAATAAGGGAATCTTTAATTTGGAAGAGAAAACCGACAGTTGATGACAACGTTCTGTTTCGCTTCCAGACTCTAATTCTTAAAACATACAAGTTCTTAAATATGTTCTTTTTTAAATTCAGTTGTAGAAATATAGCGTGAAATAGCGTAAAAGAGCGCAAATTAAATAGTGTAAAAAAATCATGCCCATGTTAGTATTTTGTGCAAATTTTATGGGAAAAATGCTAAATCAAACGCTACATCTCGTTTTACTGAAATTTCGGATTGTAGCGCGCTATGGTATGCTATTTAAAAACATTGCTCAAGGGTGATATGATGAAATTACGTAATCACCATCCAATTTGCCAATCTGCTATTCAAAACGCTGCACCTTGTTGCGTTTATTTATTTATTTTTACTCCCAAAAAGCTGCATTAAAAAATTTTGTAACCAAACGAACTATTCATCCTTTTTAATTTGGTCAAACTCGAACCACTAACACAACGATTTTGGCCAAAAAGCATAAAAAGTTAAAAACACACAAACACAATATGTGATCTGGAATAGAAGGATGGATTAGATCAACAGGCCAAATTTTTGAACGTAAGATCTTATTTTTTTATCATCTAAGTTTTTCAGCTTACGCTAGACTAATTTTGACCTCTAAGCCCTACGGCCCTTCAGTGATTCAGAGAGATAAATCGCATGATGTGTCCGAGTGAGCTTTCAGTATGATCTCCTTGCTCCAAGAAAATTCTCTTCACTAAATTGTAGCTTCCAAGAATGGAACTCTCCAAACTGAGGTTGCGAGCCCAGCAATTCTATTGTTCACCACAGGTCCACAACATGTAGGACTTTTATTAGATTATTTAATAGTCATAAATTTTCTAAAAATATATCTATTTTTATACACAATTATCATATTAAAAAATAACAGTACGAATATAATTTTTTTTTGTCAAGAAAGTATTACTGCGTACATTAACATTGCATTTTTTTTTTTAAATATTACTATTTAATAGTCAAGAGGGGAACAGAATTGCAGAACATCTGATACTCAAAGCTGGCATACACTGAATATATATAATTTATCCAAAATTTAAAAGAACTGGCGCCCATGTTCCCAATTTTTAAAACGAAACCACAATACAATAATGTGAAGAATTGAATAGAGTACCAACTAATGCAACAGTGAATTTGAGTACATGTAAGAGCAACGCTGCGCATGTCATACATATCTGGTCACATTACACTGATACGAAAATATATTGGATATAGCAGTGATTCAACTACATAAATGCACCACGCGTGGAACAGGCGCGTGAGTATCATACGCCACACTGACACCACCTTCACATGCACAACCTGACAAACCGCATATAGTATACATTATAATAATATGCTCCCCCAAGTATCCAAAACCAAACGGATAAAAAAAAAAACTGTTGAAAAGTAGAAGAAACAGAGATTCCACACAACTTTCCCGTAACCAAAAAGCAAAGATGCGATTAAAAGGTATAGAGAGGGAATAAAACAACTAAAACCGTTAAAAAATAATTGAGAATTTATCCCTTACCATTAGGCTTTGATTTTAGAGTTAGCACTACAGAAAGTAAGAACAATTACTGTAATCATCATCACCACTTTCACTCAAAGTGTGTACAAGTCAAGGAACATCTCGTTTCGTTTTAAGTGCTCGAAAATCACCACCAACAAAAGTAAAGATAAACAGCGAAAACCATTAAAATTTAGCCGCTCCAACTACCACAGTCTGACTAATTTCGGAAAATGAAAAGGCAGAAGGTTATTTAATTACTACAAAATAAAAAATTCTAACCCTCCTCTCAGTTTCGATCAGTGCGGTTCCTGCAGTGACCGTGCTGACTTTCTGTTCACAGCACCACCAGGACCACCTTTATTTTCTTTCTTCTGTTGTGAAGAGAACAAACCAAACACTCCAGATTTGGACGTACCTCGAAGCGAATAAACCGGGACATTTAGAACCGGCGTGACCCGGACGTTGGCCGAGTAGGACCTCTCCATCCCACGGTGTTTGTACCTGGGCCCACTGGTGAAACTGCTCGGGCTGCTCGAGCTCCTCTCCAGACTGTGGAACACAATTTTTCCGGATGAGTTCATCCGGGGACTGTCCATCGACACGCCGCGAACCGGCGCTGTAGCCCTTCTGACCGGACTCCGGCCGACCCGAGCACGCGCCGTCGGGTTCTCCAACGAAAACGCCGCCCGATGCTTGATGATTCGCACCCTAGAGAGATTGCTCGGCTTGTCGGAGTCTAGAGACAGTCGGGGAAGATCGTCGTGCTCGGGTCCCGACGAGGAGGATGAGAGAGATAGCCGGGCAGATATCGATACTGACTCGTTATCCGAGTCCTTCAACAGCGGCAGGCTCAGAGACGAATCAGAGGATGCATTGAGTGAGGATTTTGAACTCCGCTGGAGCAGGTGCTTTAATCCTCTGGCAGCAGTTCTGTTCTGGCCGTGGGAGGATAGGGACGAGGACGACGCCGTTCTGTGATCCGCCTCCTTGGCGCTGCTGTTCTGGTACAGCTTCTTCAGGCCGAGAAGCTCCTTCCAGCGGCTCGAGCATCTCGGCGCCTTGGGGGAGAACATGTACGGATCCACGGGGGACGCCTCGCTTCTATGGCGAGATTTGGGCGTATCCGGGGATCTGACGCAGGAAGAGGCCGGAGCCGGCGCAGCAGCGTGCCGGATCGCGGAGAGCTGCAGCGGCACGAGTTTCCCGTTGGTGAAAAGCTCGTCGGCGGGGAGCATAGCCACCGGATCTTCGAGCGGGAACTCAAAATCCACTAGATCGATGTCGGAAGTCTCTAGATCTGGTACCTCCGGCTTCTCCCCGCCCGCTTTGCCCGCGGTTGTTTGACTCTTCGAGCAGAGATTGCTCGCGGAGCCTCTGGACGCCTCCTCGTCGGAAAACTCGCAACCGAACGATATCCTGGGGCTCAGCCAGCCGTACGACGGGAACTTCGCCGGAGGACAATCAATGAAATTTTCCGGCGACATTCCGATGTTGTTATTTACACATGCCGACGCCATCTCCAACTTTCATGCAACTCCTTGTACACAGGAAATTAACCACACAGAAGGGCCGCTACAAACACTGGATCGAAAAATAGCATTCACAATATATATAGAGAAAATAACATAGTGATATCTATGGCTTCACGGCTTCTCCAGCTAGATTGAGAAAGAGAGAAAAAAATTGTTGGGGAGGGTGTGCTCCGGTGGATTGTGGTTAGCTAAGTTTTGGGTGTTTGTTGGGAAAAAGGGTGTACTCCGGTGTGGAGCGCCAGTGAGTCGTATAGTGTGCCTATATATAGCAACAATCGTACAATATGGGTCATTGAACATACCAATAGGGATATAACACGTGCACGTTTGGTCAAAGCTAGGGTGACAGGAGCGAGCGGGATATCCATTTTTTGGGGTGTGGTTCATCCAACTATCTCGTTTTTAACGTAAGGGGTAGAATTGTGATAAGGTGAGAATCTAGGGGTGAATAAGAGATTATGTCACCTTCACGCTACCACACAAGAAAAGATTTCTTCTATTATTAAAAAAAAGTATTTGTAATGTAAATAAAATTAAATTAGGTTCAATTGATATGAAAGTCTATAGCATATCAAATAAATAAAGTCTATTTTTACTTTGAATGTCATATCATACTCAGTGTGGTGGCATAGTGTCTTTCTAGTTATGTGAATAAATCCAAAATTAAGGGCTTGCTTGTTTATAATTATATTGGTATTTAATTTTTTTTATGTTAATTAAAGTTAATTTTGAAAAAAGTTAATATGATTAATTGGAGTGAGATTTTAAGTTTATGTTGAAATAAAATAATTAAAGTTTATTTGATGTAAAAGTATGAGATAAATGATTGAAAGCAATAAGTAGTTAAAATTATGTAATTGGATGAATAGTAAAGTTGATGTGATGTGTAAGAACGCTTGACTGACAGTATTTAATTATACTGATAATATTAACAATAGTATAATTGAATTAAATTTAAGTTAAAATTTGAGTTGAGATTAAATATATATATATATATTTTCTTTTTTGAGTAAATTTGTAAACAAACAAGCACTAAAGCCGTAAAGCGCAGATTTTGGCTGTGGGTGATTGGAGTTCAAGCCCAACTATTGATAAAATTGGCTTGTTAACAATTGTGCTTTCTCAAGCCCAAGCCTACTAAATACTGAAAAGTTTTAAAGTAACGTTAAAGGGACCAACAAGGAGAGAGCTTCTACTTTTAGACTCACAAGTTAAACCCTAAACCCTCATTACATCAGTGAAGAACGTGAAGATGTTTACAGGCGGAAAGAGCTTCGTCTCTTCACCGCCGGCGTTCTCTAACGACGCCAAGCGGCTCCTCTTGTGCACCGGAAACAAAGTCTCCATTTTCAGCACATCCACTGGCCTGCAGGTTTTATCTTCTTTCTGTTGACTGCCTACTTTCACCAATTATGAAATGGATCAGAGTAACCTTTTATGAACTAATTAATCTCGTTTGCAGACGAGTGAATTAGATGGCCACGAGGCGCAGGTGACATCGGTGATAGTAGTCCCGGCTACTACTCCGGCGAGTAAACTTTTGTGCTACTGCTGGACGTCTTCCCTCGATGGGAAGATCAAGTACTGGGATTTTGCTGCCCCTGAATTGATGAGGACTATCGATATTCGATTACCCATTCACTCTATGGTCGGTATCCATTTCATTATTGTCACTTATAGCTTATGCTTGGATTGGGTTTTTTGTACTTCTGATGCAACTTTGCCTGTGTTTCTACACTTTCATGGAAAATTATGATAGAAAAATTAAAGATCATTTACTTAGTACCCGGAGCTTTAGAAGATTTTCTCTTGGGGACGGTTGCACGAATAGTTTTCATCCTACTGGCAGCATATTCTCATATTTGGATGCATATTTTAATTATCTATATCATACTTCTTTTCAATTATTTGTGTCAACACAACTCCAATTAGTTTCTAAGCTCATCTTTATTAGATATGAGCCTTAAATACGCTTTTTGAAGGTTATCGTAATTAAATATCTTGTTTAATTTTCACTAGTTATTTTGTATTTCAGGTGATTCCAAGTTTATTAAGCCACACAGCTGAAAGAGATAAGAAGGTTCCTGATCTTTACGCCTATATTTACGCTGAAGATGTGAAACAGAAGGAAGAGCAATCCAAATCTTTATGTGGACAAATTCGGAAATGTAATCTAACAAAGTCTCGCTTAATTGGTGGAGTTACCTTGGCCGAGGTGCTTAATTGGTTTGATGTTCTCTACACATTGAATTATCCTATAAGAATGGTTTATGAAGTAATTTTGAATTGGGTTGGGATCAGGAAGAAACTAATTATAAATATGTTACTTATCTTAAATATTTGTGTTCCATTAGTTTTGTGTGCTGGTATCATATATCTTTCATAAATAGACCCGTCCTCATGAAGTCAAGGACAAATTTTTAAGCTAATAAAAATAAAATAATGTAATATTTTATTGCACCTGGTACCTTGAATATCATCATGCAACGACAAGAAGAGTACCACTTTTGGTTTTGTATGTTTTTTCTTCTATATTTATTTATTAGCTATTTTGTTTATTAGATATGATAATCTTTATTCCTTTGGCTTGCAGCTAGTTTTACAGTAGTTAACGTATCCAAACACCCGTTATGCATGTGCAGCTAAAGTCAGAACTATTGTGATCCTTATTTTGTTGCCGGATATAACAATAAGAGATAAGAGAAGTTATGTTCTGTGAAGGATTGGAGTCATAATCACAGTAGTCAGTGAAAAATTTGCTTTCAGGTCCTGTGTTGTGCGAAAATTGTAATTCGATACACCATGATTGCTTAATTCCTGCTTGTCATTTTGTTTTACAGACTAGGAATCCTGGCTCATTGACCATTAGCCCCACTGGAAAATACATCGGCATACATGAAAAACGCAAGCTTCGAATATGGGAGATCCCAGCCAAAGATTCTGACAGTGTTGGTTACAAGAAAATAAGGTTACATCATACAAAAGTAATTACGGCTCTAGCTTTCCATCCTACTGAGAGGGTGGTAGCAGCAGGTGACGTAACAGGGAGGATCTTAATATGGAGAGGTGTCGGGCGTGGAACTTTTGGTAGTGATGATAAATCAGTCAATGGAAAATCAAACAAAAATGCTGAAGACAGGCCTGGAGTGAGGGATGACGATGATGCGGATTCTTGTACCACATGGCATTGGCATTCTGCACAAGTGAATGTCCTCTTCTTCTCTTCAGATGGTGCATATTTGTACTCAGGTATTGCGAGTGACTGTTAGGGCCTTTTTTCAAGTAAAAAGGTAGTCTAATCTGCTATTTAGATGAATAGTTTAGCACTTCGTTTGCACATGCTTTTCTTTTGGGCTTGTGTCTTTACTAGATTCAACAAAACAAAAGAAGGATGATGAAGAAGAAGAAACCTTACCCTGTTTAGCATGTACTTATAAGACTTTTAATCCTTCAGGTGGGAAAGAGGGAGTACTAGTTGTTTGGCAGTTAGATACTGGAAAAAAGAAGTTTCTTCCGCGCATTGGATCTCCTCTTGTATATTTCGTCAATTCTCCAGATCCCTCAATGTCCACAGTAAGAACATTTTAATAATTACATAGTTCGTTTTGCCTCCAGTCTAACTGGTTCAATTAGATGAGCTCTTAACAGAGAATTTCTTCAGATATCCTGTGCAGATAACCAAATTCTGTTTCTTAGAATGCCAACAATGGAGATATTGAGGTCCATTTCAGGGATTAAGGTTTGTTACAGAAAGCCACTCACCTCAATAATAGATAAGGACAACACAGATAAACAGATGCAGTCATTTGAGTATTTATGAAATACGTGAATTAAGCTGGAGTGGGCACAAGTTGTGCTCCTCATCTGCGTTCAATGTTGAGCTCATTCCGTAATATTATCACAATTTCTGTGTAAGTTAGCAGCGTCAATGTGATAAAAAAATTATGTTTCTGTACTGTCAGCTTCGAAGTTCACAAATGGAGATGTATGAAGGTTTTGGCTCGAATATCGTCTTCAATAACACTTCTGGGTTGATTGCAGTACCCACAGAGAACTACCGTGTTCAGTTTTATGATTTGTTTAGTGACCGTGCGATCTCAGAGGTGAGTTTGATTGTGACTTTGGTAATTAGCTGCAGATGCTATTAGTTTAGCTTTTCTGCTCTTATTTGTTCTTCTTATATGGATACCTTTAAGTCCTTAAATTTTAAATCACGGTACGGATCTAGGTGTGTGAATGCATTCCTCTTTGCTTTCTTTTACTATCTTTACCTATTCAATTCTTTTTTCCTTCTTGGGGTGGGAGCAATTCTGAAATTTTTATATTTTTTGTTTTGGTGAGAGTTTCTGGCGGGTCAATATATAAGTTGTTTTTGAGGTTGTTCTATATAGATTTTTATCCATAAGTCATAACAGGAACCTTCGTGTGTATTGGTTCACTTTCTTTCTTTCTCTCTCTCTCTCTCTATATATATATATATATATTACTTTGGTTTGAAAGCACTTGGGTTTCTGTTTACATGATATATCTTAGCCTGAGTAGATATAGCTGGAGGTTATCATTCATCCCTTGGACACGATGCGTTTCTTTATAAGGTGGTTACTTGAATTTGTCTATTTGCAGGTTCAAATCTATGAGAGAAATTATCAGCCAGGTGATGAAATCACGGTACATACACTTTCTCTTGAGTAATTCTGTGGATCCATTTGATTCAGTAACAAAACATCTTTCAGGATATGTAATTATACAGTCTATTGACAGCAAGGTTTATTTTTTCTGGAATACTGATTTTCAGAAATGTTTACTGAGAGTTGAAAATCATTTATGTGAAAACCTCAACTCATTTCTGGTTCCAGACTTCCAGGAAATGAGAAAGGTTCTTTGAAAATGAAACAAACTGTAGTGTGGCATCTGTCTCTTTTTCTTTTGAAAATCTTTCTTAATGTACTACTGAAATTTGGTAGATCCATCAAGTTCATTATGCCTATTGTTATTTATGTATCGTTATTTAGTATTTATCTATTACGGGCCAATCTCTTTTGAATCTAAACTCTGATGTCTGTTTATCTCATTCTCTTTATTTATCTACAGTTTGTGTATATGTAGATATGCTCATGAGCTGTTTCAAACCATGAGTGTAAATTGTTTGAACTCTTATTTACCTCATGATCAACATTCAACTTTGAAATTAACATTTTAATTTTTTACTTTGCATACAACGTTTTCAGGCACTGTACGTTGTGTCTCTGCTAATTCAGTCCTAATGGAATCAATCTGATATCCTTACATGTGTACGTGGCAGGTAAAAGTGAACTTGGTAGCTCTTTCACCTGATGGTTCTACCATGAGCACCGTTGAAACTAGATTCCCTGAAGATGGAATTGGCAGCCTTGTGAGTCTAAAATTTTGGGCATGTGGCTCCCGGAACAAGCAAGTCAGATTGTCAACTGTGATATATGAACCCCACAGGTTTCTACTTAATTGCTTCATACTTCTGTGTTGCACCATTTACAGAATAGATGCATTGGTGCTTTTGGCATTTCCTACAAGATATGTCACTTGTATTGATGATTATTACAGTAAAGACAAGAGGTTGGCATACTTAAAATTCCTAATGAGTTTCATGCTGTTTGCTATTAACATAACAGGGATGCTGGAATCTCCTCCATTGCCTTCCGTCCAACTAGTCACATGGCTGTTAGTACCTCTTATGGCGGCGATTTCAAGGTAAGTTATCCAATTTGACTGATATTGTCTTGTAGATGGCTCTTAGTTAAACGTATATTAACTGGCAGGTATGGATTTGTAAACATGAGATACCTCCAAAGGATGAGGCACTTCAGAGTACTGGCTGGACATGTCATGCTCTTGGATCATACAAGTATAGTCCCTTGGCTTGTAGTATATATCTGAAGTGTAACAGAGCATGCAAGACAAAAAAGATCAGTTCTTAGTTTATTTACTCTTTCCCAGTCATTCTACTCTGCTAGTTTAGTTTTTT